ATCGCGATGCTCCGAGGCGTCCGGGGAGAGCATTGCGACGCTCTGGAGCGTCCGGGGAGAGCATCGCGATGCTCTGGGGCGTCTCGGGACAGCATCGCGACGCTCTGGGGCGTCCGGGAAGAGCATCGCGACGCTCTGGGTCGTCCGGGGAGAGCATCGCGACGCTCTGGGGCGGAGGGGAGAGCATCGCGACGCTCTGGGGCGTCCGGGGAGAGCATCACGACGCTCTGGGGCGTCCGGGGAGAGCATCGCGATGCTCTGGGGCGTCCAGGGAGAGCATCACTACGCTCTGGGGCGTCCGGGGAGAGCATCGCGATGCTCTGGGGCGGCTGGGGAGAGCATCGCGACGCTCTGGGGCGTCCGGGGAGAGCATCGCGACGCTCTGGGGCGTCCGGGGAGAGCATCGCGACGCTCTGGGGCGTCCGGGGAGAGCATTGCGACGCTCTAGGGCGTCCGGGGAGAGCATCACGACGCTCTAGGGCGGCTGGGGAGAGCATCGCGATGCTCTCGGGTGTCCGGGGAGAGCATCGCGACGCTCTGGGGCGTCCGGGGAGAGCATTGCGACGCTCTGGGGCGTCCGGGGAGAGCATCGCGATGCTCTGGGGTGTCCGGGGAGAGCATCGCGCACTCTGGGGCGTACGGGGAGAGCATCGCGATGCTCCGGGGCGGCTGCGGAGAGCATTGGAATGCTCTGGGGCGTCCGGGGGGAGCATCGCGACGCTCTGGGGCTTCCGGGGAGAGCATTGCGACGCTCTGGGGCGTCCAAGGAGAGCATTGCGACGCTCTGGGGCGTCCGGGGAGAGCACTGCGACGCTCTGGGGCGTCCGGGGAGAGCATCACGACGCTCTGGGGCGTCCGGGGAGAGCACTGCGACGCTCTGGGGCGTCCGGGGAGAGCATCACGACGCTCTGGGGCGTCCGGGGAGAGCATCGCGATGCTCCGGGGCGGCTGGGGAGAGCATCGCGACGCTCTGGGGCGTCCGGGGAGAGCATCGCGGCGTCCAAAGAGAGCATCGCGACGCTCTGGGTCGTCCGGGGAGAGCATCGCAACGCTCTAGGGTGTCCGGGGAGAGCATCGCGACGCTCTAGGGCGGCTGGGGTGAGCATCGCGATGCTCTTGGGCGTCCGGGGAGAGCATCGCGACGCTCTGGGGCGTCCGGGAAGAGCATCGCGTTGCTCTGGGGCGTCCGGGGAGAGCATCGCGACGCTCAGGGGCGTCCGGGGAGAGCATCGCGATGCTCCGGGGCGTCCGAGGAGAGCATCGCGACGCTCTGGGGCGTCGGGGGGAGAGCATCGCGACGCTCTGGGGCGTCCGGGGAGAGCATCGCGACGCTCTGGGGCGTCCGAGGAGAGCATCGCGACGCTCTGGGGCGTCCGGGGAGAGCATCGCGACGCTCTGGGGCGTCCGGAGAGAGCATCGCGATGCTCTGGGGCGGCTGGGGAGAGCATCGCGATGCTCCGGGGCGTCCGGGGAGAGCATTGCGACGCTCTGGGGCGTCCGGGGAAAGCATCACGACGCTCTGGGGCGTCCCGGGACAGCATCGCGACGCTCTGGGGCGTCCGAGGAGAGCATCGCGACGCTCTGGGTCGTCCGGGGAGAGCATCGCGACGCTCTGGGGCGGAGGGGAGAGCATCGCGACGCTCTGGGGCGTTCGGGGAGAGCATCATGACGCTCTGGAGCGTCCGGGGAGAGCATTGCGATGCTCTGGGGCGTCCGGGGAGAGCATTGCGATGCTCTGGGGCGTCCGGGGAGAGCATCACGACGCTCTGGGGCGTCCGGGGAGAGCATCGCGATGCTTCGGGGCGGCTGGGGAGAGCATTGGATGCTCTGGGGTGTCCGGGAGAGCATCGCGACGCTCTGGGGCGTCCGGGGAGAGCATCGCGACGCTCTAGGGCGTCCGGGGAGAGCATCGTGACGCTCTGGGGCGTCCGGGGAGAGCATTGCGACGCTCTAGGGCGTCCGGGGAGAGCATCGCGACGCTCTAGGGCGGCTGGGGAGAGCATCGCGATGCTCTGGGGCGTCCAGGGAGAGCATTGCGACGCTCTGGGGCGTCCGGGGAGAGCATCGCGATGCTCTGGGGTGTCCGGGGAGAGCATCGCGACGCTCTGGGACGTCCGGGGAGAGCATCGCGATGCTCCGGGGCGGCTGGGGAGAGCATCGTGATGCTCTGGGGCGTCCGGGGGGAGCATCACGACGCTCTGGGGCGTCCGGGGAGAGCATCGTGATGCTCTGGGGCGTCCGGGGAGAGCATTGCGACGCTCTGGGGCGTCCGGGAAGAGCATCGCGGCGCTCTGGGGCGTCCGGGGAGAGCATCACGATGCTCTGGGGCGTCCGGGGAGAGCATCGCGACGCTCTGGGGCGTCCGGGGAGAGCATCGCGACGCTCTGGGGCGTCCGAGGAGAGCATCGCGACGCTCTGGGGCGTCCGGGGAGAGCATCGCGACGCTCTGGGGCGGGAGGGGAGAGCATCGCGACGCTCTGAGGCGTCCGGGGAGAGCATCGCGATGCTCCGGGGCGGCTAGGGAGAGCATCGCGATGCTCTGGGGCGTCCGGAGAGAGCATCGCGATGCTGTGCGGCGTCCGGGGGAGAGCATCACGACGCTCTGGGGCGTCCGGAGAGAGCATCGCGATGCTCCGGGGCGGCTGGGGAGAGCATCACGATGCTCTGGGGCGTCCGGGGAGAGCATCGCGACGCTCTGGGGCGTCCGGGGAGAGCATCGCGACGCTCTGTGGCGTCCGAGGAGAGCATTGCGACGCTCTGGGTCGGCTGGGGAGTGCATCGCGACGCTCTGGGGCGTCCGGGGAGAGCATGGCGACGCTCTGGGGCGTCCGGGGAGAGCATCGCGATGCTCTGGGGCGTCCGGGGAGAGCATCGCGACGCTCTGGGGCGTCCGGGGAGAGCATCGCGACGCTCTGGGGCGTCCGGGGAGAGCATCGCGACGCTCTGGGGCAGCGGGGGAGAGCATCGCGACGCTCTGGGGCGTCCCGAGAGAGCATCACGACGCTCTGGGGCGTCAGGGGAGAGCATCGCGATGCTCTGGGGCGTCCGAGGAGAGCATCGCAATGCTCTGGGGCGTCCGGGGAGAGCATCGCGATGCTCCAGGGCGGCTGGGGAGAGCATTGGATGCTCTGGGGCGTCCGGGGAGAGCATCGCGATGCTCTGGGGCGTCCGGGGAGAGCATCGCGACGCTCTTGGGCGTCCGGGGAGAGCATCACGACGCTCTGGGGCGTCCGGAGAGAGCATTGCGACGCTCTGGGGCGGCTGGGGAGAGCATCACAATGCTCTTGGGCGTCCGCGGAGAGTATCGCGACGCTCTGGGGCGTCCGGGGAGAGCATCGCGACGCTCTGGGGCATCCCGGGAGAGCATCGCGACGCTCTGGGGCGTCCGGGGAGAGCATCGCGACGCTCTGGGGCGTCCGGGGAGAGCATCGCGACGCTCTGGGGCGGCGGGGAGAGCATCGCGACGCTCTGGGGCGTCCGGGGAGAGCATCACGACGCTCTGGGGTGTCCGGGGAGAGCATCGCGATGCTCCGGGGCGGCTGGGGAGAGCATTGGATGCTCTGGGGCGTCCGGGGAGAGCATCACGATGCTCTGGGGCGTCCGGGGAGAGCATCGCGACACTCTGGGGCGTCCGGGGAGAGCATCGCGACGCTCTGGGGCGTCCGGGGAGAGCATTGCGACGCTCTGGGTCGTCCGGGGAGAGCATCGCTGTTATAATCACAATAGGCTTCAATGTGCCTAGAACGAAAGATAGGGTGCACAGTCGGATTTCCGCACAGCGGCTTTAAACGTTCATAGCGATCTGGTCACGGCTCCAAATGACCTCATTCAACTTGGATCTAGAGCGTCTTAACGTCTCCTACAATAGGCAATTTATATCGCACGATTTCATCAAGAATTGATGACACAGCGTCAGATTGAACGAACGGCACTATGGCAGGAACATAGTCTTAGAAGACACAATTACGAACAGCTAGGAAGAGTTGCGAGTTGGGAAGGACTCCCAGCTCCTACAAACCCCAAGAGCCGAGGTACAGTGATGGGGAACAGTGCCACACTGTCCCCAACCAAGAAGGGTCTCGAAACTACCTTTCACAAGGGCCTACACCAACTGAAATGTTACACTACACTTTGTAATGTAACTATCTTCAATCTCTTGAGGTGTAGCCTTTTGGCGAGCTTCGAAAACACTTGAAGCTTGAACCAAGGCTCGGGTTCTTCATCACAAAACTCATCCTTGAGTTCTTGATGGGTCTGCTGCACACACCTGCGATACGCCGAACGTTCGACACAGGACAAAATGGAAACCGCGCACGGGACACACGACAAAATAGAAACCGCGCGCGAGACACAAATGACCGCATTAACACGCGGCTAGCGATAACTCGCTATTGACTCATACCACACACACTCGACATCATGACCCATCATACACACACCATTATAAGCATGAAATATATATTAATTTCATGCACTCATACCACACCATGCACACACGCATGCACGCACACGCAGACTCAACAAGCCGAGTTCAAACCGTAGGGTTGCACCAACAATCGCGACGCTCTGGGGCGGCTGGGGAGAGCATCGCGATGCTCTGGAGCGTCCGGGGAGAGCATCGCAACGCTTTGGGGCGTCCGGGGAGAGCATCGCGACGCTCTGGGGCGTCTGAGGAGAGCATCGCGACGCTCTGGGGCGTCCAGGGAGAGCATAGCGACACTCTGGGGCGTCCGGAGAGAGCATTGCGACGCTCTGGGGCGTCCGGAGAGAGTATCGCGACGCTCTGGGGCAGCTGGGGAGAGCATCGCGACGCTCTGGGGCGTCCGGGGAGAGCATCGCGACGCTCTGGGGCGTCCGGGGAGAGCATCTCGATGCTCTAGGGCGTCCGAGGAGAGCATCCCGACGCTCTGGGGCGTTCGGGGAGAGCATCACGACGCTCTGGGGCGTCCGGGGAGAGCATCGCGACGCTCTGGGGCGTCCGGGGAGAGCATCGCGACGCTCTAGGGCGTCTTGGGAGAGCATCGCGACGCTCCGGGGCGGATGGGGAGAGCATCGCGACGCTCTGGGGCGTTCGGGGAGAGCATCGCGACGCTCTGGGGCGTCCGGGGAGAGCATCGCGACGCTCTGGGGCGTCCGGGGAGAGCATCGCAACGCTCTGGGGCAGCTGGGGAGAGCATCGCGACGCTCTGGGGCGTCCGCGGAGAGCATCGCAACGCTCTGGGGCGTCCGGAGAGAGCATCGCGATGCTCCGGGGCGGCTGGGGAGAGCATCGCGATGCTCTGCGGCGTCCGGGGAGAGCATCGCGACGCTCTAGGGCGTCCGAGGAGAGCATCGCGATGCTCCGGGGCGGCTGGGGAGAGTATCGCGATGCTCTGGGGCGTCCGGGGAGAACATCGCGACGCTCTGGGGAGTCCGGGGAGAGCATCGCGACGCTCTGGGGCGTCCGGGAAGAGCATCGCGACGCTCTGGGGCGTCCGCGGAGAGAATCGCGACGCTCTGGGGCGTCCGGGGAGAGCATCGCGATGATCTGGGGCGTCCGGGGAGAGCATCGCAACGCTCTGGGGCGTCAAGGGAGAGCATCGCGATGCTCTGGGGCGTCCAGAGAGAGCATCGCGATGCTCCAGGGCGGCTGGGGAGAGCATCGTGATGCTCTGGGGCGTCCGAGGAGAGCATCGCGACGCTCTGGGGCGTCCGAGGAGAGCATCGCGACGCTCCGCGGCGGCTGGGGAGAGCATTGGATGCTCTGGGGCGTCCGGGGAGAGCATCGCGACGCTCTGGGGCGTCCGAGGAGAGCATCGCGACGCTCTGGGGCGTCCGGGGAGAGCATCGCGACGCTCTGGGGCGTCCGGAGAGAGCATAGCGACGCTCTGGGGCGTCCGGAGAGAGTATCGCGACGCTCTGGGGCAGCTGGGGAGAGCATCGCGACGCTCTGGGGCGTCCGGGGAGAGCATCGCGACGCTCTGGGGCGTCCGGGGAGAGCATCTCGATGCTCTAGGGCGTCCGGGGAGAGCATCCCGACGCTCTGGGGCGTTCGGGGAGAGCATCGCGACGCTCTGGGGCATCCGGGGAGAGCATCGCGACGCTCTGGGGCGTCCGGGGAGAGCATCGCGACGCTCTGGGGCATGCGGGGAGAGCATCGCAACGCTCTGGGGCGTCCGGGGAGAGCATCGCGACGCTCTGGGGCGTCCGGGGATAGCATCGCGACGCTCTGGGGCGTCCGGGGAGAGCATCGCGACGCTCCGGGGCGGTTGGGGAGAGCATCGCGACGCTCTGGGGCGTCCGGGGAGAGCATCCCGACGCTCTGAAGCGTCCGGGGAGAGCATCGCGATGCTCTGGGGCGTCCGCGGAGAGCATCGCGACGCTCTGGGGCGTCCGGGGAGAGCATCGCGATGCTCCGGGGCGGCTGGGGAGAGTATCGCAATGCTCTGGGGCGTCCGGGAAGAACATCGCGACGCTCTGGGGCGTCTGGGGAGAGCATCGCGACGCTCTGGGGCGTCCGAGGAGAGCATCGCGACGCTCTGGGGCGTCCGCGGAGAGAATCGCGACGCTCTGGGGCGTCCGGGGAGAGCATCGCGACGCTCTGGGGCGTCCGGGGAGAGCATCGCGACGCTTTGGGGCGTCCGGGGAGAGCATCGCGACGCTCTGGGGCGTCCGGGGAGAGCATCGCAACGCTCTGGGGCGGTTGGGGAGAGCATCGCGATGCTCCGGGGCGGCTGGGGAGAGCATCGCGATGCTCTGGGGCGTCCGGGGAGAGCATCGCTACGCTGTGGGGCGTCCGGGGAGAGCATCGCGACGCTCTGGGGCGTCCGGGGAGAGCATCGGGACGTTCTGAGGCGTCCGGGGAGAGCATCGTGACGCTCTAGGGCGTCAGAGGAGAGCATCGCGTCGCTCTGGGCGGCGGGGAGAGCATCGCCACGCTCTGGGGCGTCCGGGGAGAGCATCACGACGCTCTGGGGCGTCCGGGGAGAGCATCGCGATGCTCTGGGGCGTCCGTGGAGAGCATCGCGACGCTCTGGGGCGTCCAGGGAGAGCATCGCGATGCTCCGGGGCGGCTGGGGAGAGCATTGGATGCTCTGGGGCGTCCGGGGAGAGCATCGCAACGCTCTGGGGCGTCCGGGGACAGCATCGCGACGCTCTGGGGCGTCCGGGGAGACATCGCGACGCTCTGGGGCATGCGGGGAGAGCATCGCGACGCTCTGGGGCGTCCGGGGAGAGCATCGCGACGCTCTGGGGCGTCTGGGGAGAGCATCGCGACGCTCTGGGGCGTCCGGGGAGAGCATCGCGACGCTCCGGGGCGGTTGGGGAGAGCATCACGACGCTCTGGGGCGTCCAGGGAGAGCATCCCGACGCTCTGAAGCGTCCGGGGAGAGCATCGCGATGCTCTGGGGCTTCCGCGGAGAGCATCGCGACGCTCTGGGGCGTCCGGGGAGAGCATTGCGATGCTCCGGGGCGGCTGGGGAGAGTATCGCAATGCTCTGGGGCGTCCGGGAAGAACATCGCGACGCTCTGGGGCGTCTGGGGAGAGCATCGCGACGCTCTGGGGCGTCCGAGAAGAGCATCGCGACGCTCTGGGGCGTCCGCGGAGAGAATCGCGACGCTCTGGGGCGTCCGGGGAGAGCATCGCGACGCTCTGGGGCGTCCGGGGAGAGCATCGCGACGCTTTGGGGCGTCCGGGGAGAGCATCGCGACGCTCTGGGGCGTCCGGGGAGAGCATCGCGACGCTCTGGGGCGGTTGGGGAGAGCATCGCGATGCTCCGGGGCGGCTGGGGAGAGCATCGCGATGCTCTGGGGCGTCTGGGGAGAGCATCGCTACGCTGTGGGGCGTCCGGGGAGAGCATCGCGACGCTCTGGGGCGTCCGGAGAGAGCATCGCGACGCTCTGAGTCGTCCGGGGAGAGCATCGTGACGCTCTAGGGCGTCAGAGGAGAGCATCGCGTCGCTCTGGGCGGCGGGGAGAGCATCGCCACGCTCTGGGGCGTCCGGGGAGAGCATCACGACGCTCTGGGGCGTCCGGGGAGAGCATCGCGATGCTCTGGGGCGTCCGGGGAGAGCATCGCGAAGCTCTGGGGCGTCCAGGGAGAGCATCGCGATGCTTCGGGGCGGCTGGGGAGAGCATTGGATGCTCTGGGGCGTCCGGGGAGAGCATCGCAACGCTCTGGGGCGTCCGGGGACAGCATCGCGACGCTCTGGGGCGTCCGGGGAGACATCGCGACGCTCTGGGGCGTCCGGGGAGAGCATTGCGACGCCCTGGGGCGTCCGGGGAGAGCATCGCGACGCTCTGGGGCAGCTGGGGAGAGCATCGCGACGCTCTGGGGCGTCCGGGGAGAGCATCACGACGCTCTGGGGCGTTCGGGGAGAGCATCGTGATGCTCTGGGGCGTCCGGGGAGAGCATCACGACGCTCTGGGGCGTCCGGGGAGAGCATCGCGATGCTCCAGGGCGGCTGGGAAGAGCATTGGATGCTCTGGGGCGTCCAGGGAGAGCATCGCGACGCTCTGGGGCGTCCGGGGAGAGCATCGCGACGCTCTGGGGCGTCCAGGGAGAGCATCACTGCTCTCTGGGTCGTCCGGGGGAGAGCATCGCGACGCTCTAGGGCGTCCGGGGAGAGCATCGACGCTCTAGGGCGGCTGGGGAGAGCATCGCGATGCTCTTGGGCGTCCGGGGAGAGCATCGCGACGCTCTGGGGCGTCCGGGGAGAGCATCGCGACGCTCCGGGGCGGTTGGGGAGAGCATCGCGACGCTCTGGGGCGTCCGGGGAGAGCATCCCGACGCTCTGAAGCGTCCGGGGAGAGCATCGCGATGCTCTGGGGCGTCCGCGGAGAGCATCGCGACGCTCTGGGGCGTCCGGGGAGAGCATCGCGATGCTCCGGGGCGGCTGGGGAGAGTATCGCAATGCTCTGGGGCGTCCGGGAAGAACATCGCGACGCTCTGGGGCGTCTGGGGAGAGCATCGCGACGCTCTGGGGCGTCCGAGGAGAGCATCGCGACGCTCTGGGGCGTCCGCGGAGAGAATCGCGACGCTCTGGGGCGTCCGGGGAGAGCATCGCGACGCTCTGGGGCATGCGGGGAGAGCATCGCGACGCTCTGGGGCGTCCGGGGAGAGCATCGCGACGCTCTGGGGCGTCCGGGGAGAGCATCGCGACGCTCTGGGTCGTCCGGGGAGAGCATCGCGACGCTCCGGGGCGGTTGGGGAGAGCATCACGACGCTCTGGGGCGTCCGGGGAGAGCATCCCGACGCTCTGAAGCGTCCGGGGAGAGCATCGCGATGCTCTGGGGCGTCCGCGGAGAGCATCGCGACGCTCTGGGGCGTCCGGGGAGAGCATTGCGATGCTCCGGGGCGGCTGGGGAGAGTATCGCAATGCTCTGGGGCGTCCGGGAAGAACATCACGACGCTCTGGGGCGTCTGGAGAGAGCATCGCGACGCTCTGGGGCGTCCGAGGAGAGCATCGCGACGCTCTGGGGCGTCCGCGGAGAGAATTGCGACGCTCTGGGGCGTCCGAGGAGAGCATCGCGACGCTCTGGGGCGTCCGGGGAGAGCATCGCGACGCTTTGGGGCGTCCGGGGAGAGCATCGCGACGCTCTGGGGCGTCCGGGGAGAGCATCGCGACGCTCTGGGGCGGTTGGGGAGAGCATCGCGATGCTCCGGGGCGGCTGGGGAGAGCATCGCGATGCTCTGGGGCGTCCGGGGAGAGCATCGCTACGCTGTGGGGCGTCCGGGGAGAGCATCGCGACGCTCTGGGGCGTCCGGGGAGAGCATCGCGACGCTCTGAGGCGTCCGGGGAGAGCATCGTGACGCTCTAGGGCGTCAGAGGAGAGCATCGCGTCGCTCTGGGCGGCGGGGAGAGCATCGCCACGCTCTGGGGCGTCCGGGGAGAGCATCACGACGCTCTGGGGCGTCCGGGGAGAGCATCGCGATGCTCTGGGGCGTCCGGGGAGAGCATCGCGACGCTCTGGGGCGTCCAGGGAGAGCATCGCGATGCTCCGGGGCGGCTGGGGAGAGCATTGGATGCTCTGGGGCGTCCGGGGAGAGCATCGCAACGCTCTGGGGCGTCCGGGGACAGCATTGCGACGCTCTGGGGCGTCCGGGGAGACATCGCGACGCTCTGGGGCGTCCGGGGAGAGCATTGCGACGCCCTGGGGCGTTCGGGGAGAGCATCGCGACGCTCTGGGGCAGCTGGGGAGAGCATCGCGACGCTCTGGGGCGTCCGGGGAGAGCATCGCGATGCTCTGGGGCGTCCGGGGAGAGCATCACGACGCTCTGGGGCGTCCGGGGAGAGCATCGCGATGCTCCAGGGCGGCTGGGAAGAGCATTGGATGCTCTGGGGCGTCCGGGGGAGAGCATCGCGACGCTCTGGGGCGTCCGGTGAGAGCATCGCGACGCTCTGGGGCGTCCAAGGAGAGCATCGCTGCTCTCTGGGTCGTCCGGGGAGAGCATCGCGACGCTCTAGGGCGTCCGGGGAGAGCATCGCGACGCTCTAGGGCGGCTGGGGAGAGCATCGCGATGCTCTTGGGCGTCCGGGGAGAGCATCGCGACGCTCTGGGGCGTACAGGGAGAGCATCGCGATGCTTTGGGGCGTCCGGGGAGAGCATCGCGACGCTCTGGGGCGTCTGGGGAGAGCATCGCGATGCTTCGGGGCGTCCGGGGAGAGCATCGCGACGCTCTGGGGCGTCCGGGGAGAGCATCGCGACGCTGTGGGCCGTCCGGGGAGAGCATCACGACGCTCTGGGGCGTCCGGAGAGAGCATCGCGACGCTCTGGGGCGTCCGAGGAGAGCATCGCGACGCTTTGGGGCGTCCGGGGAGAGCATCACGACGCTCTGGGGCGTCCGGAGAGAGCATTGCGATGCTCCGGGGTGGCTAGGGAGAGCATCGCGATGCTCCGAGGCGTCCGGGGAGAGCATTGCAACGCTCTGGAGCGTCCGGGAAGAGCATCGCGACGCTCTGGGGCGTCTCGGGACAGCATCGCGACGCTCTGGGGCGTCCGGGAAGAGCATCGCGACGCTCTCGGTCGTCCGGGGGAGAGCATCGCGACGCTCTGGGGCGGAGGGGAGAGCATCGCGACGCTCTGGGGCGTCCGGGGAGAGCATCACGACGCTCTGGGGCGTCCGGGGAGAGCATCGCGATGCTCTGGGGCGTCCAGGGAGAGCATCACGGCGCTCTGGGGCGTCCGGGGAGAGCATCGCGATGCTCCGGGGCGGCTGGGGAGAGCATCGCGACGCTCTGGGGCGTCCGGGGAGAGCATCGCGACGCTCTGGGGCGTCCGGGGAGAGCATCGCGACGCTCTGGGGCGTCCGGGGAGAGCATTGCGACGCTCTAGGGCGTCCGGGGAGAGCATCACGACGCTCTAGGGCGGCAAGGGAGAGCATCGCGATGCTCTCGGGTGTCCGGGGAGAGCATCGCGACGCTCTGGGGCGTCCGGGGAGAGCATTGAGACGCTCTGGGGCGTCCGGGGAGAGCATCGCGATGCTCTGGGGTGTCCGGGGAGAGCATCGCGCACTCTGGGGCGTACGGGGAGAGCATCGCGATGCTCCGGGGTGGCTGGGGAGAGCATTGGAATGCTCTGGGGCGTCCGGGGGGAGCATCGCGACGCTCTGGGGCGTCCGGGGGAGAGCACTGCGACGCTCTGGGGCGTTCGGGGAGAGCATCACGACGCTCTGGGGCGTCCGGGGAGAGCATCGCGATGCTCCGGGGCGGCTGGGGAGAGCATCGCGACGCTCTGGGGCGTCCGGGGAGAGCATCGCGGCGTCCAAAGAGAGCATCGCGACGCTCTGGGTCGTTCGGGGAGAGCATCGCGACGCTCTAGGGCGTCCGGGGAGAGCATCGCGACGCTCTAGGGCGGCTGGGGTGAGCATCGCGATGCTCTTGGGCGTCCGGGGAGAGCATCGCGACGCTCTGGGGCGTCCGGGAAGAGCATCGCGTTGCTCTGGGGCGTCCGGGGAGAGCATCGCGACGCTCAAGGGCGTCCGGGGAGAGCATCGCGATGCTCCGGGGCGTCCGAGGAGAGGATCGCGACGCTCTGGGGCTTCCGGGGAGAGCATCGCGACGCTCTGGGGCGTCCGGGGAGAGCATCGCGGCGCTCTGGGGCGTCCGAGGAGAGCATCGCGACGCTCTGGGGCGTCCGGGGAGAGCATCACGACGCTCTGGGGCGTCCGGAGAGAGCATCGCGATGCTCTGGGGCGGCTGGGGAGAGCATCGCGATGCTCCGGGGCGTCCGGGGAGAGCATTGCGACGCTCTGGGGCGTCCGGGGAAAGCATCACGACGCTCTGGGGCGTCCCGGGACAGCATCGCGACGCTCTGGGGCGTCCGAGGAGAGCATCGCGACGCTCTGGGTCGTCCGGGGAGAGCATCGCGACGCTCTGGGGCGGAGGGGAGAGCATCGCGACGCTCTGGGGCGTTCGGGGAGAGCATCATGACGCTCTGGGGCGTCCGGGGAGAGCATCGCGATGCTCCGGGGCGGCTGGGGAGAGCATTGGATGCTCTGGGGCGTCCGGGAGAGCATCGCGACGCTCTGGGGCGTCCGGGGAGAGCATCGCGACGCTCTAGGGGCGTCCGGGGGAGAGCATCGTGACGCTCTGGGGCGTCCGGGGAGAGCATTGCGACGCTCTAGGGCGTCCGGGGAGAGCATCGTGACGCTCTAGGGCGGCTGGGGAGAGCATCGCGATGCTCTGGGGCGTCCAGGGAGAGCATTGCGACGATCTGGGGCGTCCGGGGAGAGCATCGCGATGCTCTGGGGTGTCCGGGGAGAGCATCGCGACGCTCTGGGACGTCCGGGGAGAGCATCGCGATGCTCCGGGGCAGCTGGGGAGAGCATCGCGATGCTCTGGGGCGTCCGGGGGGGGCATCACGACGCTCTGGGGCGTCCGGGGAGAGCATCGTGACGCTCTGGGGCGTCCGGGGAGATCATTGCGACGCTCTGGGGCGTCCGGGGAGAGCATCGCGGCGCTCTGGGGCGTCCGGGGAGAGCATCACGATGCTCTGGGGCGTCCGGGGAGAGCATCGCGACGCTCTGGGGCGTCCGGGGAGAGCATCGCGACGCTCTGGGGCGTCCGGGGAGAGCATCGCGACGCTCTGGGGCGTCCGAGGAGAGCATCGCGACGCTCTGGGGCGTCCGGGGAGAGCATCGCGATGCTCTGGGGCGTCCAGGGAGAGCATTGCGACGCTCTGGGGCGTCCGGGGAGAGCATCGCGATGCTCTGGGGTGTCCGGGGAGAGCATCGCGACGCTCTGGGACGTCCGGGGAGAGCATCGCGATGCTCCGGGGCAGCTGGGGAGAGCATCGCGACGCTCTGGGGCGTCCGGGGAGAGCATCGCGGCGTCCAAAGAGAGCATCGCGACGCTCTGGGTCGTCCGGGGAGAGCATCGCGACGCTCTAGGGCGTCCGGGGAGAGCATCGCGACGCTCTAGGGCGGCTGGGGTGAGCATCGCGATGCTCTTGGGCGTCCGGGGAGAGCATCGCGACGCTCTGGGGCGTCCGGGAAGAGCATCGCGTTTGCTCTGGGGCGTCCGGGGAGAGCATCACGACGCTCAGGGGCGTCCGGGGAGAGCATCGCGATGCTCCGGGGCGTCCCGAGGAGAGCATCGCGACACTCTGGGGCGTCCGGGGAGAGCATCGCGACGCTCTGGGGCGTCCGGGGAGAGCATCGCGACGCTCTGGGGCGTCCGAGGAGAGCATCGCGACGCTCTGGGGCGTCCGGGGAGAGCATCACGACGCTCTGGGGCGTCCGGAGAGAGCATCGCGATGCTCTGGGGCGGCTGGGGGAGAGCATCGCGATGCTCCGGGGCGTCCGGGGAGAGCATTGCGACGCTCTGGGGCGTCCGGGGGAAAGCATCACGACGCTCTGGGGCGTCCCGGGACAGCATCGCGACGCTCTGGGGCGTCCGAGGAGAGCATCGCGACGCTCTGGGTCGTCCGGGGAGAGCATCGCGACGCTCTGGGGCGGAGGGCAGAGCATCGCGACGCTCTGGGGGCGTTCGGGGAGAGCATCATGACGCTCTGGGGCGTCCGGGGAGAGCATTGCGATGCTCTGGGGCGTCCGGGGAGAGCATCACGACGCTCTGGGGCGTCCGGGGAGAGCATCGCGATGCTCCGGGGCGGCTGGGGAGAGCATTGGATGCTCTGGGGCGTCCGGGAGAGCATCGCGACGCTCTGGGGCGTCCGGGGAGAGCATCGCGACGCTCTAGGGCGTCCGGGGAGAGCATCGTGACGCTCTGGGGCGTCCGGGGGAGAGCATTGCGACGCTCTAGGGGCGTCCGGGGAGAGCATCGTGACGCTCTAGGGCGGCTGGGGAGAGCATCGCGATGCTCTGGGGGCGTCCAGGGAGAGCATTGCGACGATCTGGGGCGTCCGGGGAGAGCATCGCGATGCTCTGGGGTGTCCGGGGAGAGCATCGCGACGCTCTGGGACGTCCGGGGAGAGCATCGCGATGCTCCGGGGCAGCTGGGGAGAGCATCGCGATGCTCTGGGGCGTCCGGGGGGGGCATCACGACGCTCTGGGGCGTCCGGGGAGAGCATCGTGACGCTCTGGGGCGTCCGGGGAGATCATTGCGACGCTCTCGGGCGTCCGGGGAGAGCATCACGGCGCTCTGGGGCGTCCGGGGAGAGCATCACGATGCTCTGGGGCGTCCGGAGAGAGCATCGCGACGCTCTGGGGCGTCCGGGGGAGAGCATCGCGACGCTCTGGGGCGTCCGGGGGAGAGCATCGCGACGCTCTGGGGCGTCCGAGGAGAGCATCGCGACGCTCTGGGGCGTCCGGGGAGAGCATCGCGATGCTCTGGGGCGTCCAGGGAGAGCATTGCGACGGCTCTGGGGGCGTCCGGGGAGAGCATCGCGATGCTCTGGGGTGTCCGGGGAGAGCATCGCGACGCTCTGGGGACGTCCGGGGAGAGCATCGCGATGCTCCGGGGCAGCTGGGGAGAGCATCGCGACGCTCTGGGGCGTCCGGGGAGAGCATCGCGGCGTCCAAAGAGAGCATCGCGACGCTCTGGGGTCGTCCGGGGGAGAGCATCGCGACGCTCTAGGGCGTCCGGGGAGAGCATCGCGACGCTCTAGGGCGGCTGGGGTGAGCATCGCGATGCTCTTGGGCGTCCGGGGAGGAGCATCGCGACGCTCTGGGGCGTCCGGGAAGAGCATCGCGTTGCTCTGGGGCGTCCGGGGAGAGCATCACGACGCTCAGGGGCGTCCGGGGAGAGCATCGCGATGCTCCGGGGCGTCCGAGGAGAGCATCGCGACGCTCTGGGGCGTCCGGGGAGAGCATCGCGACGCTCTGGGGCGTCCGGGGAGAGCATCGCGACGCTCTGGGGCGTCCGAGGGAGAGCATCGCGACGCTCTGGGGCGTCCGGGGAGAGCATCACGACGCTCTGGGGCGTCCGGAGGAGAGCATCGCGATGCTCTGGGGCGGCTGGGGAGAGCATCGCGATGCTCCGGGGCGTCCGGGGAGAGCATTGCGACGCTCTGGGGCGTCCGGGGAAAGCATCACGACGCTCTGGGGCGTCCCGGGACAGCATCGCGACGCTCTGGGGCGTCCGGGGAGAGCATCGCGACGCTCTGGGTCGTGCGGGGAGAGCATCGCGACGCTCTGGGGCGGAGGGGAGAGCATCGCGACGCTCTGGGGCGTTCGGGGAGAGCATCATGACGCTCTGGGGCGTCCGGGGAGAGCATTGCGATGCTCTGGGGCGTCCGGGGAGAGCATCACGACGCTCTGGGGCGTCCGGGGAGAGCATCGCGATGCTCCGGGGCGGCTGGGGAGAGCATTGGATGCTCTGGGGCGTCCGGGAGAGCATCGCGACGCTCTGGGGCGTCCGGGGAGAGCATCGCGACGCTCTAGGGCGTCCGGGGAGAGCATCGTGACGCTCTGGGGCGTCCGGGGAGAGCATTGCGACGCTCTAGGGGCGTCCGGGGAGAGCATCGCGACGCTCTAGGGGCGGCTGGGGAGAGCATCGCGATGCTCTGGGGCGTCCAGGGAGAGCATTGCGACGCTCTGGGGCGTCCGGGGAGAGCATCGCGATGCTCTGGGGTGTCCGGGGATGTTAGAGATTAAGGACGGAGTCTATGAAGATTAGGGGCTGAAATATCTCAAAATCGTCAACTACAATTCTGGACAGAAAAGTCGTCGTCACAAGAAACGTCGTCGACGAAAGGTCCACTGTTAGAATTCTTTCAAACTCGATTATGTTGTAGCCCTTGACCGTGGCTATCTTTCCCAATTTGAATAGTATCAGAATATGGAGTATAACTCGAGTTATGAACTTCGGCGCACTAGGGGGTATGCTGCCATAGAAAACGTAACTCAATCACAATGATCTCACAAGTTCACACAAGAAAGTTAGAGTAGCAGTAGAACCAGGTAGGAGGGGATGAGGAGGACGAGAGGGAAGGTCCCAAGAGAGTCCCCAACCAAGGAAACCCCATGCCATACAATTCCCTTCCCCATAGGCAAACCAACTTTGACCTTTGTCACTATCCCAACCTCCACAATCCACCTCAACCCAACTTGGCCACACTTGCCAACCTGGTTTGGTTTCTCCCAACCATTTGGCAGCAACTACAGTAGAAAAGACGAATTTCCCAACCCCCAAAAGTCTGTACCCCATATTGAGTCAACCCCACAACTTCCCATAGTCACCACAACCAAATATCAAAAGCATACGAACTCCAACGTTCGTAACTTTCTAGTTCGTGCTCCGATTGAAGCGATACTTGGTTCCTCGGAAAGCTCTTGAGCAGAGGAGTCACTTCAGATATCTGCTCAAGCCAAATAACATTCACACACACACTCAGAAAAACCAAACCGCACAAAACACAAATTCTTGCACACACTCACAACACGCATGCAACGCACGAACATATGATGGGAGGCAGACAGACGTGAATGCGAATGGTAGCATCACTCAACAAACTCCCCTCTGGCTGCCAACCATCATCCCACATGCCATAGCTCAAGCATGCATCCTCAATGCACACTCATCCCAGCAAGCTTCATGCCCTTCCAATGCTCAGATTCAGCCAGGCGCTTGGTGAGAATGTCAGCCGCCTGCTGATGGGTCTTCACAATCTCCAGCCGCACCTCCTTGTCCAGGAGCCTCCTCACCCAATGCCACTTAGGCCTGATGTGCTTCGTCAGCCCATGAAGGCAAGCATTCTTAGCAAGCTTCACAGCCGACTCGTTGTCACAGAAAATCACAGTTGGCTCCTTTTGGCACACTCCGATCTCCTCCAACAAACGCCTCAGCCACACCACCTCCTTTGCCCCATGATGCAGAGCCATGTACTCTGTCTCACACGAGGACTGCCCCACCTCGTTCTGCTTCTTGCTGCGCCAGCTCACTGCACCACCTCCAAACAGGCACACATAGCCTCCAATGCTGGTGCCATCCGCCTTCACAGAGTTGAAGCTAGCGTCGGTGTAGCAGGTCAGGAGCATCTCCCCCTTGCCCAAATCAGCTGCACCCCTCTGCAGCCTCTGTCGCACAGCACTGTACTCCAAGCCCACTAATGCCGTAGCGCTCACATAGCGGACCAACCTCTTGGCCGCTTCCAGCTGCTCATGACTGGGGCGTGAAACCACACTTGCAAGCCTGGAGTGTAGCAAAGGCAATGTCAGGCCGCGTGTGGTTAGCCGCATAATTGAGTGCCCCCACCAGGAATGAAACAGCTTCCTGTCACTCTCACCCACCACCTCCTCTTCAGCACAGGGCTCCACAGTGAACCCCGAAGGCAGTGGGGTGGCTGGCTTTCCTGCCATCTTGCAGCCCATACTTCTCAGCCAGCCCCTCACAATACTTTCTCTGGTGCAACCTCAACACTCCCTTGTCAAGGTCCCTCTCCACATGCATGCCCAAATAGTACTTCACATCTCCCATCTTGGAGCACTTAAACTGCATCTCCAGCATCTCCTCCACATGCTCAATCATTGCAGACGACTCAGAGAAGAGCAGGATGTCATCCACATACACCAGGAGCATGAGAAACTGCTCCTTCTCCTGCAGCAGGAACAAGCTGTGATCACACTCACTCTTCTTGAAACCCCCAGCCAGCAGAGTCTCCTCTAACTTGTGGTACCATGCACGAGGAGCCTGCTTCAGGCCATAGATGGCCTTCTTCAGCCTGCACACCCTGCCGCTCCCATCATCCAAACCCTCAGGCTGTAACATGTACAGCTCCTCCAGAATGATCCCATTGAGGAAGGCGGTGGTGATGTCCATGCTGCTTCACCCGCCATCCACGGTATGCTGCCATTGCCAATGACACCCGAAAGTGTTGTGCTTTCCCCACAGGAGCATAGAGCTCGTTGGCTCACCTTGCATCGGCGCATGGGGCATGTGGCCCTGCCCATCTTGCAGCAGCTAGTGAAGAATGAGATGGTTGCTGGCATACGTGTGAAGGGGGAGCCCGATGAGGTGCTTGGCTGCCCGACGTGCATTCAAGCCAAGTTCACCCGGTTTCCGTTCCCTAGTTCGGAGGCACGGCAAAGGCACCGCTTGATGAGGTGGTGATGGACGTGGTGGGCCCCCTGAAGCTTGGAGCTGCTGGAGCTGAGTATTTTCTCACCATTGTCGACGTCTACACCCGCATGACTTGGGTGTACGTGCTGGCCAAGAAGAGCGACGTGGCTGAAACGTTGAAGACGGATTGGTTCCCGATGGTGGAGCGGCAACAAGACCGTCTAGTCAAGTCAATCCGCACCGATCGAGGGGGTGGAGTTTCCTGAGCAAGGAGTTTGGGTTGTGGCTGAAGAAGAATGGTATTCGCACTCCCTCACCATGCCCATACTCCCCTGCAATGAACGGCATCGCCGAGCGAGGCGACCGCACAATCACGGAGGCGGCACGCGGGTTGCTCATTGAAGCCGGGCTACCCGACTATTTCTGGCCTGAGTGCGGTGCGGAGCGCGTGTGTGGCCAAGAACAGAGCCTTGACTCATGTGGGAGCAGACAAATGGGTGCCCTATGTGGAGTGGCTAGGAAGGAAGCCAAAGGTGGATATGCTTCGGGTGTTCGGGTGCATGTGCATGGCGCTCGTGCCTAAGCATCTTCGGCACAACAAGCTTGGTGCCAAGGCGGTGTGGGCCGTGCACTTGGGCATGGCTCAAAACAGCAAGGGATGGCTTCTTTGGGACCCATTCACCCAGAAGTTCTTGGTGAGCAGGGACTGCAAGTTCATGGAGAACTTCATGTACAAGGATTGGAAGGCGGAGAATGAGGCGAAGATAGGCGTGCGGTTTGGGGAGGTGAAGAGTTCCGGTTTGGAGCATGTGGAGCTGCCTTTGGAACTGAGCAGCGGCAGCACAACCACAAAGGCAATCCTCCCTTGTGAAATGGGGGATAGGAGGCCAATGATGCAGAGGAAGAAGAGGAGGAGGTGCAGCAAGTGAGCGAGCAGTGCACCGTCACTTCCTTCCCGTACTACGAGTGCTCCACGGATTCGAGCCACACCGCAGCAACGCCAAGGCCTTCAAGTCCCTGCAGCTGAGGAGGAAGGAAGGGGGAAGAGGAGAGTTCAACCCCCTAATAGGCTGACCTATGATGCGCCGGGAAAGCAGGGCAAGACAGCCCTGGCCGGAGCGGCAATGATGGTCGGAGACGACGAGGAGAGTGACTACGAGAGTGTGCCTTCGCGTTACTTCTCTCCGGTGGAGATGCCGGGAGAAACCAGGCAAACTCTCAAGGAGGCTTTGGAGAGTAGTGATGCTGAGGAGTGGAAGAAGGCCATGGAGAGTGAGCTGAAGAGCATCGAGGAGAATGACACGTTTGAATTGGTGGAGCTACCGGAGGGGCGTACGGCGATAACGTCCAAGTGGCTCTTCAAAATCAAGTCGGATGCCGACGGCAAGATCGAGCGCTACAAGTCTAGGCTTGTAGCCAAGGGTACCAGCAGAAGGAGAAGGTGGACTTCAAGGAGCTGTTTGCCCCTGTGGTGAAGCCGACGACGCTGCGAACCCTATTCGCGGGAGCCGCCATCAAAGGATGGTAGTAAAGCAAATGGACATCGTAACGGCATTCCTTAACGGCATCCTTGAGGAGGAGATTTTTATGGCGCAGCCAGAGGGGTTTGATGATGGTAGTGGCAGAGTGTGGAAGCTGAAGAAGGCCCTCTATGGGCTGAAGCAGGCCCCTAGGCAATGGTACATGAAGCTGCGCGAAGTGTTGGAGGGGATCGGCTTCACTCCCTCAACGGCCGATCACTCCTTGTTCATGCTTGGCGAGGGGGAGCAGAGGAGTTTCATGGTGGTTTATGTGGATGACATCCTCATTTTCTCACCCTCTTCTGACCTTGTGAAGGAGGTGATGCTGAAGCTTCAAGACAAGTTCAAGTGCAAGGCCCTTGGTGACGTGAGCTTCTACCTTGGGCTCCACATCGAACGAGATGTGGAGAAGCGGTGCATGCGGGTGCATCAACGAAAGTACCTGGAGGCATTGGCTGCCAACTTTGGGCAGAGTGAAGGCCATGTGGCTACACCCTTTCCCTCTGGGTTCAAGTGTGTGAAGGGACCAGAGGAGGAGAGCGTTGGTGAAGAGGAGAGGCGCCGATTTCACTCGTTGGTGGGCAGCCTCATGTATGCGGCGGTAAACACCCGACCGGACGTCGCGTTTGCTACCGGGCAGCTGGCTAGGGTTGTGCAATGCCCTAATGAGGAGCAGGTAGCAGCTGGAATGAGGGTGGCCAAGTATCTTGGCCAAACACCGACCGTTGGGCTGCAATACTCGGCGGCGGCACAAAGGCGCCAAAAGGGCGCGGATGGTGTTGAACCCGGGCGTTTGTTCCTCACCGCCTACTCGGATGCTTCATATGCATCAGAACCAGAGGACATGACAAGTGTGGGAGGCTTCATATGCTGTGTTGGTGGAGGCCCAACTGCTTGGGAGAGCAAGAAGCAGGTTGACCAAGCTTTGAGCTCGGTGGAGTCCGAGTACATGGCACT